CTCAAACTTGAAGCTATCCTAACATGTGATGGGGAGGGGAAGAGAGGGGGAGAGAGAGTAAGGGAGGGAGGGGGGAGAAAGAGAGAGTCAGAGAGAGAGACAGAGAGAGACAGAGAGACAGAGAGAACTTTTTAAAATGATCATGGTAAAAACTGTTTGCAAATGGGGTGTGGTATATGCCTGCGTATGCACATAAGTGTGCAAATGAGCATACATATGTATATGTAGGGGACAGAGGTTGATTGTTATGTTTATACTTCCATCAATTAAATTAATTTTACACTTAGTCATTTGCATTGGTTTGTAAGTGTGTGGGAATTTGTGTTCAATAGTGCATGTGTGGAGGTCAGAGGACAACATGCAGGAGTCTATTCTGTCCTTTCACCATGCAGAGTGTGAGGATAGGACTCAGGTCATAGGCTTGATGGCATGTTCCCTTACCTGTTGAGACATCTCAGTGGTCTTCTACCATAACTACTGACACGGCTTCTTTGTCTCAATCTGGAGCTCACTAACTGACAACTCTCCAGACAGGGAGCTTCAGAAATCTGCTTGTCCCTGCCCACTGCGGTCACAGGTGTCACCAGAGTCAGGCTTTAATGAGGAGGCTCAGGACTGAACCCAGGGCTTCTGGTTTGAACAGCAAGTACTTTACAACCGAACCACTTCCACAACCTCTAGAACTCTCCTTGTAACTCCCAAAGATAGTCATTGAATTTTACGTAGACTATAGAACTGATAAAAGTGAATCTTTATATTTCTGATACAGAAACCTCATCAAGGCACTGAAGGAGGACAAGGTAAAGGAGAGTAAGTGGTGATGCAGGAGGTTGGGATGACGAGTAAGTGCATCAAACAGGTGACCAAGTACCACAGAATAACCTAAATATATTTTCTTTAGCAAGACCATAGTTCAGTGGATACAGACAAATCTGAAGGGCTAAGTACAATTCCCAGGACACATGTGGTAAAAAGAAAAACCTGACTCCCATAAAGTTGTCCACTGATCTAAACACACACACACACACACACACACACACACACACACACACACACCAATGTTTTAAATGTCTTTTTCTCCATGCTGGTTTGGAGATCTATCATACTATTCAATGAAACATGGTCTCAGTCTGTAGAGCACAGAACTCGTAGTCCTAGGATCTAGGGTCTGTGCCCCACATTGGGCACCAACTTAATTATGACTAATAAAAAGTCAGAGAGAGAAATTTGGGTTCAACCTGAACGTCATAAAAGAATAACAGCCAGCCACTGACTCTCCTTTCAACCTCAGTTCAAAATAGAGAGCTTGCCTCCAGGTCAGAAAGAGACCGTGTCTGAAAGCTGATTCCTCCTGAACCCTCTCTAGGGCTGGGATTAAAGATGTGCATCACTTGTATTAAAGGTATGTACTGTCCGGTTTCTATGGCAACTAGTGTGGCTACTGGGATTAAAGGTGTGTGTCTATAAGGCTGACCAGTGGGTTTTGTCTTTCTCTCTGATCTTCAGAAGAGCTTTATTCATTAAAAATACAAATGGAATGCCACCACAATACATAAGAAAAACTGCTCTTACCACTAAAGAACCAAATGTCAATGGTAGAGTCATCATCATCTCTGCCTGTTCCACCTCTTCTCTTCCTCTGCAGGCAGAAACTGAACCTCCCCGATGTTAATAAGAATTGCATCCTAACCTGCCATATACCTACCAGCTATATAGCATTTCATTCATTTCTAGTAAATTTCATAAATTTATCTAGTACATAATACATTTATGTATATTGTATATTAAATTATATTCCCCAAGTATATAAACATGTATTAATTATTAATTATATAGGCCATTTATTTCTTTATCAACATAATATTTACCAAACCATGATTATGATAGTCAATTATTTAATTCATGTTTTATAGACATATCTACCTTATCTTACATATATCATTCTGTCATAAACCCTTCTTGTCCACACGACTATCCCCTTCCCCATTTTGTCTATTAATCTACCATCCTCTGTGAAATCAGAAACCCACCCACCTATGCCCCTCTTCTTGCTCCGGGTCCATTCAAATGCGGGGGTGACTAATGTGAAACTTTACCAGGCATCTGGTTCTTACTTCAGGGTCATATTAATGTTTTATTGTCACATGTTCCCCTTAAATAAGACATCTCAATGGTATGGGTCTAATCAGCCCATGTCTAACATAACTGTATTCTCAGGCAATTGATATTTTTTAATTTTCGGGATACTGTGACTCAGCGTAGCCGTCAAGGCATGAAGGTCAACTTACCATGTAGCTGGACATTTTAGTCAAGTATCATTTATCCCCATATAACCCCTTACAACATATTAATTAATGGCTTCAGGAATTCAGTGTAATCAATAATAAGCATGCAAATGCTATGTTCCTCCTATCAAGTTCCAAAGGACATATTTCCATGTTTGTAAGACATACAACCCAAATATACTAAAAAAAAGTTATTTCAGCCAACACCCCTCCCCCACCTGAAATCGCCTATCCTTGTCAAGCCCTCAAAGTCAATAAAGTTACTGTTTATTTCCAAGAAGGATTGTTTATTTAAATTTTGTGTTCATGAATATTTTCCCTGTGTGTATGTATGTGCGCTACATATGTGCCTGGTTCCAGCAGAAGCCAGAAGAGGGCACTAAATCCCACAGAACTGGAGTTCTAGACAGGTATGTATCACCATTCTATGTGTTGGGAAGCAAACCCAGGGCCCCTGTAAGAACAGCAAGTGCTCTGAACTACTGAGCCATCAATTCACCTTGCAGTTATAAGTTTAAACAAGAAGTAAGTCTGTAAACTGAAGCATGAACAGGGAAACTGAGGCCATTGATCACACACGGCAGAATTCTGCTACCCAGAGTGGCAAGGTGTGAGTGCCCCTGGTTAAAATAGCCAGCACCGTTATAAGTGATGGTGAGATAGATGAACCGAGGAGCTGTTCTCCCTGACCAATCATTATGAGCCCAGGGACACAGACAACATCTCTACAAACCAAATAAATAAAATGCTCACACAAGCTGAGATGACTCAGTATGGTAATCCATTGTCCATTGGTGATATTCATATTTTGCCACTATGCCTACTTTGCTGCTGTTCTAGGGATTAGACAAAGGGTCTCACATCTGCTGTGTGCACTGAGCATCACTAAGTCACACTCGATCATATGCTTCCTTTTAAGTTTGTTTATTTTTGATCAGGGTCTCACTGCACTGACCAGTTTGGCCTTGAATTCACCCTTCAGCCCAGGTTGACCTTCAGCTTTTGATCTTTCTGGCCCAGCTATATCTATCAGTCTCAGAGGGGGAAGACCATTATTTGTCTGTATGCAGAGACAGTGTGTATATTTAAATATATAGACTGAGAAAGACAGAACGTGGACAAATCTTGCTTTTCCTTGAATAAATAAAACATAAATATTTCAATTTTTAGTTTTCTTCCTGAACAGCATTTCAGTGAGAAGTACCAAAATTTGGAAATAAATAGGGTAACTGGGCTTGAGGTCAGCATCCATCTCGTGACCTGAGTGAGTACCTAGGGGTGCACAGAAACTGGGGCAGATGCAGCTGGAATAAACAGTGCCTTTCCATTTCTAGGCAATACTAATATCACTTTGTTCCTCTTATTATAACAGACAAATTCCAACTCTGCTACTATTTGCACTCTGCGAAAATAGATGCCACCTAATTTTAAACTCACAGTGTGGCATTTCTGAATAGTCGATGAGGGTGAGCATTCATCTGATGAACTACAACAAATAGGAGAAGGTTCACATACTACCTTAAAACATAAAACAAAATAAAGCCTTTCCAATAGGACAGCTTATATCTTTGGACAATATCTCCAAAGCTGGGGTACGTTCAGAACACATGATAACCTTGCAATGCAAGTTTTTTTTTTAACAAAATTTTCCCATTTTAATAAGAGTTACATACTATACTTCTCTGTTTCTCTGGGGGAATATGTCTCCATATTGAGCCATAATTTAATTGATCCATACAAAGGAAATACTGATGTAACAGTTTGTTATTCATTTCTACAAAAGACAGAATTCTCTTTCAAACCAAGAAGCTCATTCCAACTCCTCACACCCATGCGATTATCATATCCAAGCAACAAAGGCCTCTATGCCCTACCTGAACTCAATCATGCAACAAATCTCATCTGAGACTATGGAAACCATTGTATCTTAGACTTGCTGAGACACCACATTGTAAAGAAATTTCCTAAAGTTTAAAATTATTCTGAAGTAATTTAAAAGTTTATTCGGTGGGACAGCCATTACTGACTTGAATTACATAAGTATATTATACTTACCTCCAATCATGCGGAACTTGTCATACTCCTTATTTTTATAGATAAGGTAAATACAAAGTTCTTATACAATAATATATGCCTTATGTTTCCATATCAGAAGATGTTTTATCACATCTCAATCATTACCTTTAAACATCAATGAATAATGACAGCAAAGCTTGGAAGTTGCCAGATCAGCCCAGGAAGAAGATAGAGTATAACAGAATGGGATCATCACATAATTTGTTTCAAGTTTCTATTGTTTTACTGCTGTGATATTCTTTTGTTTGCCTTTTGCTTTCTAGAAATAAATGCTTATATGTTGAATATTCTTCTACACATTTCAAAGATGCCTATTGCCATCAAAGTAATCTGATTTTATTTTTCACTGACATGATTAAGAACAGAAAAGGAAGCATTGGTAAAAATATCACATGGCACAAATTTGTTCATAAAAATAACCATGCAGAACACACAGAATATGTTCAGATTATTTAAACACCAACATCAAACAAAATCACAGATCATAAAATGATCAGAGACAATATGTAGACCATCATAATGCAAAGCCAAAGTGAAAAGCAAAACAATTAGTTTTATTTAAAATGTAGTGAAATTCTACTGCACATCAAAGAACTTGCTACATTGTTAAAGCAATCTTGGTGTTTTTAGGATCACATATAGAAAAAGATCACATTTCAACTAGTTTATGAAATATGACATAATCTCCACAAGACTCATATATGCATTTAATGGGTGTCATTTGCAACTTCCAAAATATCTGATGTTAATGACAGCAGAGTGAGAAATTATTTGGGGGAGGTAGAGAACTAGCAAGAAGAGGGGTCAAGGACAATGAGAGATTTCTAGGAGAGAAGAAAGCATTCCGATGAGATGATGCTTGTGTGTGCAGCGATCTGGGGGAGCCCATGACTTCACATGCTGATAAAAGAAGATCATTCTGATGTTAAGAGATTGAAGTGCAAATTAAAGTTCTCACCTTTTGCTGCCTCTCACTGCCTTGTCTCCCTTCCTCCAGGAGATGGTTGGCTTTGGAGCACCCTGTGGTTGACACTCTATGAGGACTTCCCGGTCTTTGGTGACAATTATTGTTTTCTTGACCTGATTCAGTTCAAAGGAGGGTGGCGAGGCTGTGGCAAAGACAAGTAATTTCCATCAGAAGCAAAGTTGAGAATTATTAGTTCACTCTTGTATTCTACTTGTTTCTCGGGCACACTTTTCTCTTAAAATCTCATGAAAAAAATATAAGGCATTAGCACAAAATTTAATTTATTATTAGCTAACAAAGCTCTTGTAGTTATCTGTCCATTATGAGAACATAATGTGGAATCTACAAAGAAATAGTACTTCAGAAAATGACAGGCTTAATTTATGATCACCGAGTTCAGTTGAGAAAGGCTGCATGCCACTTGGACATTGCTTAGGAGCTTGACCAAGAGAGTCACTTTTGGGTTTCTGTGCAGAGACGTTTTAAGTTCCAGAGAAGACAACTGATATCTTTTATTTCCCAACTTATTTGACGAAGCCCACCTCACTTTACTTTAGAATTATACAGAAGTGACTGCAGTTTTTATAGAAATTAGTTTTTTTAAAGAAATGGAGCTGTATGAATTTTAACTCAAAAATTTATTTCATTTGTCTCAATTACTCATCTAAGTGTGAACATTAAGACTTACTACACTTATATCAAGATCAATTAAACTATGAAATATGCACGTGCACAGCATCTAAGTGAGTCATTGTTTATACAAACTGAATCTTTGCATAACTCTCAGGAGAAATTTATGCTTATGTTAAAGCCATATAGTGCATGGCATGACAGTACTAGAATGAGGTATACATTACAATCGAGTATGGCAAAATACTGAAGACAAGTATGGGAAGATTACAAGTAACAGTTTCGGTTGCCTCCTGGGCACTTGATTTGTAACAAACACTTTTGTATGTCTATTGAGTAAAGGGCTTGAGAATGTTTCTGGGAAAACTCTGATGTAAGTGAATCCTGAATTAGCCTTTCAATTCTGAAATGCTGGACAATATGTTGACAAGCAAATGCATTAATATTTGATTTGTTAAGATGATGGAATTGCTATGAAATCCACTATCAGCTTTTTTTTTATGTGAAGCAATTTCAACTGTAAGCATTTACAACTGAATAAGTATCTATGATGTGTTACATTTAGCTTGCATGTAAGAAATTTCTTTCCAGGTTCCAGAGACTATCCATTTCCCCATAAATGTTATGCTTACAGAAGTTAGAAAAGAGAAAGTGCCTGTAGGGTTCTTATGTGCATTGGAAAGACAGAGTGCTAAGATCGCATAAATATCTCTCTTTTTACTACAGTCATCCCAGAACAAAGGCTTCAGAAGCCAACTGAGTGCAAGAAAACAAACTCAGTACACATGTCCCAACACACCAGCATTGCCCAGGAAAATCTGGGCGAAATCTTCCTGACACTTTCAATAGAGGACTGGATTTCATGCCCAGATGTTACCTTAGCAAAGGTGGAGCTTTTTATGCTTGCCCTCTGGATCCCAGGAAGACTTTTCTCTCCAATGCAGAACATAATACCAGGTACCTATGAGAAGGGAGCTGTTCACCCTGGTGTCACATACACAGTGATCATCAGAAACTACTCGGGAAAACATTAGCCTTTCTATGGGAATAGCACAGGCTGAACAAATACTAGGATCTCTGTCCTAGTTAGCTTTGTCAATTTGAATCAGCCTAGAGTCCTCAGAGAGAAAACCTTAAGAATTATCTGTATATTGTATGTGTGACATTGTCATGATTATTAATTGATGTACGCCGGCCCAGTGCACTGTGGGTGACAGCATTGCTAGACTGGTGGTTCTGGGCTGTATAAGAAAGCTAACTAGGCACGAGTCCATTGGGCTGGTAGGAAGCATCCTCCATAGTTTCTGCTTCACGTTCTTGATTAAGAACTGTGGACTGTGGCCTGGAAGTGTAAGACAAATCCTTCCCTCCTTTAAGCAGCTTTGGTTACAGTGTTTTAACACAGCACGAGAAAGGAAATAAGAGTAGCCCTCTATACACACTCAAGGTTTTATCCTGTGAAAATTAACGTATGCGCCTACATGATTTTATTCCTTGCCATATCAAAGACATATTGTACCAACCATTTAAGATGTAGACTAAAGTCACACACATAAACATGGTGGGAGAAACTGCAGAAGGGAAAGCTTTCTTCCAAAGCTTACAGGAATATCAACGAGATACAGCGATTCTTTTCATGACATCAAATAGGTTTTAGATTCACAGCATAAAACCTCACTGTAGTAAGAATGGGTAGGAGAAGAAGTCACACTTCTTTCCTGTCTATTTGCTGAGAAACTGCATACCTAGGATCTTCAGTTGAGCACTCGCATAAATAGCTCCATATTTATTCTCAGCCAAACACTGATACATCCCAGCATCGGATTGATTCACACTATGGATCACCAATACTCCATTAGCTGTGTCCACTCTGCTCTGTAATGAAATAAAAAGAAATAAGATCTAGAAACAGCTCAAGCCAACCATCTACATAAAATCTTGGGAACCACCCAAAGGAGGTCTCCAATTAATGCAGTCAAATAAACATTATTATGTAAGTTAATTATTTACTACATTATTATGCCTTTCAGAAATTATGACTTCTTGCTCGGTATTTCTGTTTCTTTTCTGAGCCTATTTTGTTTGGTAGATTAGTTGAATCCAAGAGAAAACCCAACAGAGAATAAGTTGATAGACATTCCTTTTACAAAACAGACGTTGAAACTAGGTGCAGTATAGAAAGGATGGAGAGTGTCAAACAGAATATAGGTAAACAAAGGCCCAACTCCTGTCAATGGGCCTTGTGTCTACCTGGCTAGACTTTGACTCTTGCTTCTTAACAAAGGAGCAGAGATTGAGAAAAATAGCAATAACAACTATCTTATAATTAGGATTTACACAATATAGTTGGAAAATACAAATTTCATTATTATGTGGAAGTTTTTAAAAGACAGACCTGGCATGTATGAATTGAGAAAATCAGGGTCAAAGAATATATCTAAAAGAAAAGTGTACATCTCAAAAACAAATTTTACTATTAAAATGTTAAATATAGAGGTATCTTTTAAACTTAGCAGTGAGCATATCATTAGGTTTTAATATCTTCATGAGCAGGGATTCCATTATTAATCATTAGAGAAGTCAAGTAATTTGATGCCATTTTCAAAATAAACTTATCCACTCAGCAAAAATAATATCTGGCAAGGATATTTGTGTGGCCTGGATGTTGGGAATAAAAGATCTGACTATCCATGGTAAATAAGACAAAACAACAGTCTACAGAATGAGAGAAGATCTTCACAAACCCCACATCTGACAGAGGATTGATCTCCAAAATAAAAAAAGAGCTCAAGAAACTAGACATCAAAATCCAAATAATCCAGTTTAAAAATGGAGTACAGATTAAACTGTAGAATTCTCAACAGAAGAAACTCAAATGGCTGAAAGACACTGAAGGAATTGTTCAAAATCCTTAGCAATCAGGGAAATGCAAATCAAAACAATTCTGAGATATTATCTTACACCTCTCACAATGGCTAAGACCAAAAATACCAATGTCAGCTTATACTAGAGAGGCTGTAGAGTAAGGGGAACACTCCTGTATTGCTGGTGGAAGTAAAAACTTATACAACCATTTTTGGAAATCAGTATGGTGCTTTCTCAGATAATTGGTAATCAATCTACCTCAAGAAGTACCACTTTTGGAATATACCAAAGGATACTTAAGGACATTTACTCAACTACATTCATAGCAACATTATTTGTAAAAACCAAAATCTGGAAACAATCTAGATGTTCCTCAACTGAAGAATGGATAAAGAAAATGTGGAACATTTACACAATAGAGTATTACTCAGTGGTGAAAAACAATGACATCTTAAAATTTGCAGACAAATGGATGGAACCAGAACAAAACCATCCTGAGTGAGGTAGCCTAGACCCATAAAGACAAACACAGTGTGTATTCACTTGTAAGTGGATATTAGACACAAGCAAAGGATAACCAGGATACAATCCTCAAATCTCTGAGAAGCTTGGTAACAAGCAGGACCCTAAGAGAGACATGCACTGAAGCCCCTGGGAAGGGGAAATAGATAAGCTCTCCTAAGTAAATAGGGAGCTTGGGAGAAAGGGGAAAGAGGGATTAAGGGGAAGAGGAGGAGAACATGAGAGAACAGAATGGCTGAGTTGGGGAAGGGACAGAGAGGGAGAGCAAGGAGGTATCTTGATAGAGGGAGCCATTATGGGGATAAGGACAAATCTGTGCTAGGAAAACTCTCAGCAGTCCACAAGGATGACCTTCAATTAAGACTCCTAACAATATTGGAGAAAGTGACTGAACTGGCCTTCCCATGTAATCAAATTGATGACCACCCTAATTGTCATCATAGAATCTTCGTCCAGTAACTGATGAAAGTAGATGCAGAGATCCACAGCTAAGCACTGGGCTGAGATCCTAGAGACCAGTTGAAGAGAGGAAGGAGAGATTGATTATATGAGCAAAGAGGTCAAGGTCATGATGGGGACTCCCACAGAGACAGATGACCTGATTTAGTGGGAGCTCACTGACTCTGGACTGGTGGCTGGAGAACCTGCATAGGACTGAACTAGGCCCTCTGAATGTGGGTGACAGTTCTGTGGCTTGGGCACTCTGTGGACCCAATGGCAGTGGGAGCAGGATTTATCACTAGTGAATGAACTGGCTTCTTGGAGCCCATTCCCTTTCGAGGGATACTTTGTTCAGCCTAGATGCAATGGGGAGGGTTTTTTCCTGCCTCAACTTGATATGTCCGACTTTGTGGACTCCTAATGGGAGGTAATATCCTTTCTGAGGAGTGGATGGATAGGAGTTGCGTAGAGAGGAGGTTGTGGGGGAGTGGGAGGAATTGTGATTGGTATGTGTAGTGGTATATTATTTATATTTTGATAAATAATTCTTGCCTGAATACCAGAGTCAAAGTTAAGTCACTAGAGGTCAGGCAATGGTGACACACACCTTTAATCCCAAGACTTGGGAGACAGAGTCAGATGCAGCTCTGTGAGTTCAAGGTCACCCTGGGCTACACAGGATCAATGCAGAAATAAATTCATTTGGTGATGGATCACACCTTTAATCTTAGTCTTAGGGAGTCATAAACCTCTAATCCCAGCACTAGAGAGAATATAAAATGGGAGGGGAGAGAGACTTCGTCTACTTATAGGTCTCCCAGCCTTGGTAAAGGTAAGACTTCTCCAGTGGCTTGGCTGCTTTGCTTTTCTGTTTCAGGTTGAACCCCCAATGTCTGTCTTTGAGTTTTTATTATTCTTTTATTATTCATGCTACAGGTACGTAAAATGAAAAAAAAACTTTTAAATAAAAAATTAAAAAAAAAGATCCAACCAGCATTGCTTGTCCTAGGAGGAATCCCTAAGAAAGTTATTGAGGAAGAGTTTGTAAACTGGGTCCTAAGTTTACTTTTATGGCTTTGTATTCTATCTGGCTTTTTGTGTAGGTTTATTTTCTTTAGGTTTAACTGGCTTCAGAATAAGAGAATGTCAGAGCTTAGTAAAACTGTAGGAAAAGTCTGACAAAAAGAGAAAGAAACCAAGGTTCCAGGAGGTAAAAGTACATGAGTCAACATGGTAAAATCACAGCTACTTGACAGGACTTTATATGCAGTTCAAACTGTCTGCACACACCCTCCGGTTATGAATCCTGACCCGCTCTTCTTCTGATCACCCTTTCTGTGAATGTCACAGCCAAGGGAGAGAGGCATCAAAACTAGCTCCCTTATTATGCAATCAACAAGGAATCATTGTAAGTCTGGCATACAGAATGGGTTTAAACATATGCAACAAATTTACTGAAAATTTGTTACTGAAAATGAAAAGACATTTGTTAGGTTTGAACATCGCAGAAATGCCGCTTCCTAGAACAAAGGCACCACAATTCTATTCTAGCATTTCTTCACACAGAAACATAAGCCAAAGTAATCCTGTACTCCTGGTAAGTTTCATCATGTGAACAATGGGGGCCACAAGCTAAATGGTAGCTAAAGGTCAGCTAGAAGTGGCAGCAAAGCTACGATGATTAATGTTATTTTCCTATGAATTTATAGGCTTTAAATAACTTTTGTATAATGTATTACTCAGATAGTAATCAGATAGTTAAAATTATAAATAATTTTTTATATTGTATAGGCATATGCACACACATATCAAAAGACAAACGACGACCATTTTGTGCTGCATGCCATGTATACTGGCTAGTTTTAGGTTAACTTAACACAAGTTAGAGTCATCAGAGAGGAGGGAGCTTCAACTGAGAAAATGCCTCCATAAGACTGGGCTGTTGGTAAGCCTGCTAGACATTTTCTTAATTATGATTAGAGAGGGACCAGTTTACTGTGGGTGTGTCCATCCCTGGGTGGTCCTAGGTTTTATTGGAAAGTAGGGTGAGCAAGTCAGGATGAGCAAGCCAGTAAGAAGCACCATGGCCTCTGCATCATCTTCTGCCTCCAGGTTTCTGACTGGCTTAAGTTCATGCCCTCACTGCTTTTTATGATGAACTATTGTAGGGATCCATGAGAGACATGTACCCTTTCTTTCCAAAGTACTTTTGGTCATGGTGTCTTATCTCAGCAATAGTCACCCTAAGTAAGACACCATAGTAGACAAATCACCAGGCAGTTTGAGATCCCCACAATACCTGTGGCAGGAGGGGTGCTCCATTCTTCAGCCAGCGGTATGTGGGCCTGGGCTTGCCAGTCGCCTTGCATTCCCACTGCAGAGGACTCCCACTATCAAGCTGCGTGTCATTCAGTTTCTGTACCCAGTGTGGGTATGCTGTGAGCATTTAAAGCAGAAAGAAAAGTGAGTTCAGTACTTCAGCATTTACCAGAGAAAAAGTCACTGAATTTCCATAAAGTTAGTCCTTACTTGTAGCATTTGGATAAGAAAAGGGGAGCACTTTATTTCACTACACAGGTGGTATGTCACCACACAGGAGAGAACATTACGAGACAAGGGATCCCATCATTATTACACAAGGGAGTCCATCATTACATAAAAGAGAAAGTCATTACACAGGGAAGAACATCTTTACACAGGGGAGCAGATCATTACACAGAAGAGAACGTCATTACACAGGGGAGTACATCATTATTACATGGAAGTGCATCATTATTACACTGGGGCATGTAATTATTGTACAAGGGAGCACATCATTATTATACAGGGGAGTATGTCATTATTACATGGGAGTCATGCTATTATTACACAGGGGACCATGTCACTTACACAGAAAAGCATGTCATTATTACAGAGGTTGATATGTCACTAATACACTGGGAAACACGCCATTATTACACATGGTGGCCCATTATTATTACACACGTGAGAATGTCATTACACAGAGAACTGCTTCCTGAACAGCAAGTAGGTATTTCTGTAAATGTAAATTGTATCTTAACCATACATCACACACACACACACACACACACACACACACACACACACACACTCTAAAACAAGTAGTTTGTTTCTCTCCAGAGTTTGCATGGCAGGGAACCAGTCACTGCAAAAATGACTCTTGTGAGTGGCAGCACACAGTAGGTCCTGTTAATAGTTGCTGAGATGTGTGTGCACATTTGTGTACACAAATCTGTGTGCATGTGTACATGTAAATGATTTTGGAAAACTAATTTTTAGTTTAAATTTTACTGAGCATATTTTTTCAGAATTTATTAACATTCAACATAATTAGTAAAAAAAGTTTCAAAATCATGACACATAGCAATTCCTTTATCAGTAAACACTGTGGGACTTCCACATAAAGTACAAGTTAAAAGTTAAATGTCTTTTCTCCATTGACCTACTGGTTAGCAAAATTTCTCAAAGAAAATTATTCTGTGTTTGTGTATTTTGTTTAAAACATAGTCAAAGCATGAGTGCTTTTTCCTATAATTCCTGGTGTGCTCAGCATCAGACAGCAACATCTGTAGTACAGGAGAGAGGCCGCTCTGCACCCTGTGTGTGACTGGCTATGTCCTTAGGTGCTGTTTGCAGTCAGTAGAGTCAAATTGCGTGGCAACTGACAAAATAAAGATTTAATTAAATGCATGTCAATACACGCATACGTGTATATATATACACATGTATGCACACAGACATAAACACAAAGGAAATGTGGGCCATGGATCTTGTTCAAAATGAAGACCTCTGTGTTTCAGAAGTAAATCTAGCTCAGCATCTAAGTGTGATGTATTGGTACTCTTCATGTGTGACAACACATGTGGAATGCGGTGACATTTAATACAAGGTTGTTTCAGCTCTTAGGGCATTTTTTCTGTTGTTGTTCTTTTTTTTTTTAAATATTTATTTATTTATTTATTATGTATACAATATTCTGTCTGTGTGTATGCCTGCAGGCCAGAAGAGGGCACCAGACCCAATTTCAGATGGTTGTGAGCCACCATGTGGTTACTGGGAATTGAACTCAGGACCTTTGGAAGAGCAGGCAATGCTCTTAACCTCTGAGCCATCTCTCCAGCCCTCTGTTGTTGTTCTTTGCTTGAACATTGCAAAGTATTTGTAAGACTCAAGGTTCCCTTCAAGGTTTCTTTTCCAGCAGATTGCAGTTACTCAGTGGATGAGGTTCCTTTTGCTTCTGAATAAAAACACAGGTCAGAACACACCACATCTTGGTCTGCATGGTGTGGAATTAATCAATTATCTAGAAAATGAAAATCTGGGCCAGTGAGATGGCTTATGAGGTAAAGACACCTGCCTCCCACCTGACCACCTGAGTCCAGTCCCGGTGAGCCACATGATAGAAACAAAAAGCTTACTTCTGCAAGTTGTCTTCTGATCTGTACAGCGTTATACCACATACACATACACACACATGCACAAACACACACACACACATGCATGAACGCATGCCGGCATATACATACAAAAAATACCACATATTCACAAAGACATATACGTACAGCACAAACCTGCATACACACATACACATACAAGCATATACAGATGCATGAATATGCACACCATACACATACAGATAAACACACACATACACATGCATGCATGTATCTATAACCACACACACACACATATATACACACAGCATAAATTCACATATTCCACATACATACACACAATATACATGTACATACACACACACATACAGACTCACACATATATGCAATTTAAAAGAAAAAAATCCCGGGTTTGGCTGAATTTGCAATAAACGTCATAACATTAATGTGGCTTTTGTTGGACCATGTCTGTCAGGGCTTGGAAAACTGAGGAGACATATGGTCTTCTGAAGTGGGAAACCATAAGAACCGCCCCAGATGCCAGTATCCTGGCAGCTACTCACGTGATACTTTTGGGCTTCAGAACTGTCTCTGGGTTCCATTTTGTACCGCACAAAGCAGATGTGCATAAAGAAAGCTATTGCTCATTACCTCTCATCGCTGGGAACTCTGCAAGTCTCTCCTGACACACGCTAAGTGTTATTGGCTGCTTCCCTGTTCCTGTATCTTAAGTATTGAGGACTCAACATATTTTACTGACATAGATCAATTTTAGTATTATGACTCTCAGCTGTGAGCTAGCGAGAACTAATGTACAGTGTTGAATGATACAGTTGGAGGTGAATATAGGTTCAAGCCCCAGTTGTGGTGCCCTTGCTGTAATCTATAATTGGAAATGAGTTCCTTTACTTTCATGAGCCTCATTTGTAAGTTGTAGATGGTAATTCCCATTTCAGTGGGCTGCTATGATGATTGAACATAATAAACAGTGATTGAGTCTCTGCCCCAATCCATCACCCACAGATAACTTCAGTTTTATTTTTATCAAGTATGATCACAAATGTGGCACCATTTTCAGAATAGTAGATTCAAGTCTAAAAAATATTTCCCCATAGAAACACAGTTGTGACATCATGGACAATTATGGAAACCAGTAATTTATAAAGTTGCATACTTTTCTATGGTGAATCTGCAAATATTTCTAGCGGTACACCATCCTTTAAAATCCAAGCATAGTCAAACACAACTTTAAAGAATAATTGCAAGAACTTTAATATGTCCAGAAAAATCATTTCCCTCATAATGTAGTTAGCAGAAATGGCAATTGACCTTTAGTTACCATTTCCAGGATAGACTGATTCTATTCTGTTTTGTTTGTTTGCTTGTAACACTTAAAATTCAGTTTTATCATTCTTGTGATGGGGAATTTAAGTTTAATTCTGCTTTCTGTTCTTTTTGCTTGTTTGTTTGTTTTTGTTTTTTGAGACAGATTTCTCTGTGTAGCCCTAGCTATCATGGAACTTGCTTTGTAGACAGGTTGGCCTCAAACTCACAGAGATCTGACTGCCTCTGACTCCCTAGTGCTGAGACTTTAAAGTCGAGTGCCACCACTGTCTGGCTCTGTTCTGCACCCTTGAGCTGAACTTCTTCGCCTTCTTCTAGCCCTATTATTGTTAGGTTTGGCCTTTTCATGGTATCTCAGATTTCTTGGATGTTTTGTGGTAAGAATTTGTTGAGTTGAACATTTTCTTCGATTGATGAATCTATTTTCTCTGTAATATCTTTAACGCCTGAGATTCTCTCTTCCATCTCTTGTATTCTGTTGGTTATGCTTGCATCCGTAGTTCCTGTTCCTTTACCCAGATTTTCCACTTCCAGAATTCCTTGGTTTGTGTTTTCTTTATTGCCTCTACTCCAATGTTCAAATCTTGGACTGTTTCCTACACTTGTTGTTTATTCTTGGTTTTCATGGCTTTCTTTATGGGATTTTTTTATTTCTTCCAATTTTCTGTTTATTTTTTCCTCCATTTATTTAAGGGAATTTCTCATTTCCTTTTTAGGGTCTCTATCACTGTCACAGTTATTTTTAGGTTGTTTTTCTTATCTTTTTGTTTCTGCTTCCTCTGTGTTGGGATGTTCATGTCTCACTGTTGTAGAACCACTAATTTCTGGTGGGGCCATATTGCTCTTTATATTGTTGAATGTATTCTCACACTGCCCTCTTCCTATCTCTTCCTCTAATTGTTGTAGGTGGCACCTGTGGCTTCAGTATTTGCCAATGAGACAGGGGATGTTGGTAGTGGGCAGAAAGGATGTTAATGCCTGGTTGCTTGGGGGGTGTGGTTTGTGGATGTCGGGCACAGAATGTGGCCTAGTAGCGGGTTAGGCCGAAGAAAGCAGGGCTGTCTACAAGATAGCTTAGACACCCATCTCTTCCTCTAGCTCTGTTCATTGTTTTTAAGCAAAGCTTTAGGCTGAGAGTCCATGGCTAACTTCTCACAATTGTTTACATCTTCTGCAGTGCACATGCTGTGCAAGTCCAGAGCTGGCTGGAGACAGGAAGAGAACGGATGGTGCAGGTTTCAGCTCAGAGGCAACCCCTCGGCATCACTTTAGGATTTTCTCACATCCACAACAGAATGTGTTTCCTGTGTCTTCCAGGCCTCTTCCTTTCCTGAAGCCTCTTCTAGTTTTCTGTCTCCCTGACCCTTTTGAGCATCCTTCCTTGTACCCACACCTACTTTCACCTAAGCACAGCACATCCATTTAACTCAACTTGTTGTAATGGTTTTAAATCTCAGTAGGTGTGATATTCTCATCACTAAGTGCCAATGTGGTTAATATGGGAAGGCCTGGTCATGTGCAGCCTTGAACATGAGCTTTTGGCCACTGTCAGCAGCCACTCCTCACTCTTTCCATTCACTTGCCTCACACTGAATCCTGCAGGGTGGTGTTCACATAAAAGCAGTAATCATTATAATAAGATTTACAATCAATTTTATTTACTCCTTCCTGGGTAGCATGCTAAGTTTTAGAAATATATATATATATATCTCAGTTAAATTATCTTGAAAATGCGCAGAATTAATCTGAAGATAATAGTATATGCTACTAAAATTTGTGAAGATGCTGCCCAGGGACTTAATGCCAGTCAGTATATCCAGACTATTATCTATACCAACAACGCAACTGTGTCCTTCTTCGGAGGTTTGAAATAGTACAAACTACCTCTACCCTAAAGACTCTGGTTTCAGATACATTAAATTTAAGTCAAGTCTAAACCATAGATACAATCTAGAGATCATCACCACCCAAAATTACTGTCCGTGGCTTCATATGTTACATTTTATATTGTAGATCACTAATCTTTATGTTTTCTATACAGTAAACACTTCCTTTCATCAGCCTCCCGTAGAACTTCTTCCATTATGGCAGACCATATTGCTGTTTGCCTTCTTCTCTCTTTTTCTTTCCCTTCACCATTTCTTCAATCTTTTCCTCCCTCCCTCTCTCCTTTTTTCTTACTTTCTTTCTTCACCTGTTTTCTTTGTATTAGTCCTTTTCTTTCATTTTAATTGAGACTGCTAACAAGCAAGGTTTAATTTAATATGGAATGCATTTTTGAATGGCAATTTCAAACAGGGCTTTTTAGTAGATACCACAGTAAATTCACCTTAACAATTATACGGTTTATTTTAAAATTCAAATCATCTCACATGTAATACCTTCAATTATGCTATTTATTTTTTACTTGAATTTTGTAGTTTAAATCTGTTTATACCCCCATATAAATTTACCTTTATTTTACTTTTCAATTTAACCACTTGAGCTCTTTCGTCTTTTATCATTTGTTACATTAATGTTTTAATATCAATTCTCCTTAAAAAAAAAAAAAAAAAAACCAAACATGTACCGGATATGATAGTTCTAAGGCTCTGACAAAATGACCTATCTCCGAACTTCTGAATATCCCAATTACTCTATCTGGAGCCTAATAAAATTCTAGATACAGGAGAATAGCCAAGACTGTGGTACACATGAGGCTACCCATGGGGAGCTTCCCTACCCGTGAAGGCTTGGCTAACAGACTGTGGCGCTTATGGGGAGGGCTGGAACCTTCAGTAGTTGGGGTCTGTCCGTCCGAAGATTCTTAGTGCTCTAGGGTTATGTCCTAGTTGGGCTCAAGCCCCTTCCTCTCCCTCCTTTCTCTCTGCTTCCTAATAGACACGAGGTGAATATTTTTCTCACCATGTGCTGCCTCACAGCATGTGACAAAGACAGGATACATGGATAGAAGCCTCTGAAAGCATGACTCGGCACTAACCTCGCTTCTTTTCAGGATGATTATCCCAGATATTTTGTCCCAGCAATGGAAAGCTTACTAATACGCATATCTGCTGTTAGTCAAACACCAATGCTCGTCAGGACCCACCTACATTCTATAGTCACAACTTTCTGAATTACAGAAGTTGTGTGAACCCAGATATTTTGGGGAGTGAAACAAGGAGCTCTTTATAAGTTCCCCAAGGAAACAGACACAAAGTGGGGTTACTTAGAACAAATCTAAACGTATGGTTCCATGATGGAGTCTGGCCAGAAGCCATTCTAATTAGGGTAAGGTGTCTTCCTGGTATGTCAACCAGACATGGCAAGTGGTTAAAAATGACCTAGTTGTTCTGTTTTAGTAACAATCTATACATTTAAAACTCAAAGTAACGATTCAGATTAAGTTAAGAGAAATTATTTTGGCACTATTTGCAGCAGTGGGCACTGCCTACGAACCAACCAGCAGAGTCAAGAAGAGGGACCAAGGGTCTTGGTCAGCTAGGAACTCTGGGTCCCCTGCCCCCGTCTACAGCTCATTCTCATTAGGAATATTGCATTCTTTACAACAGAGACATGAGGGAAACGGTTTGCAATAGCACATATAGCGATAAGTATTCCTTAGTCTCTTTTGTGGTTTTAAACGATACAATTCTGGTTTAATTCTTGTCCTTTATTGCCAGTTTTTTTTTTCTGTAAAGAGAGTTAATACCCCATCCTGTTACTAAGAGAATAAAAATTCATTTCAGTGGGGGTATGGCAAAGTGACAGTTTTCTCTTTGTCTGCTGACTGTCATAATTATTTGCTTTAAGAAGTTATGAGCAGTTACAAATACTGAGTTTCATCCAAAATTAGTAACAGGTACACCCACAGTCTGAAAGTTCCTGGCCTGGTACCCCTAGCGCATGATACAGGCTTTTCAGCGCTTAGGACTGTCCTTCCTCCCAGATGCTTTGTCCCATTCAGCCGTTCGAATTCTGAGGGTTTTAAAGTCCTAAAGTTTTCAGGACAGAATGTACTTGGCCTAGAATCCTCATGATCCTTTCTGTTTTCAGCGCTAATTTGAAGTTCACTTTTTTTTTCTAATTCAGTGTCTTTGCTAGCATTCGGAGTAGTAAGAGGCACTTAGTGAACATGAATGGGTGAAAGAAGGCTCATGCCACAGTCTGCTGAAGGAATGAATTCCTGAAGGAGTTATTGAAACCATAGAAAGGAAGGTTGAATGTAGTTATCAGCGGCATTTCCAGATTTTTCTCACAGAGTCCCTTGGCAGTGCATTTAGGTTTACAAAAGAGGCAGTCTTGAGAGACAGTTAGAATGGCATGTCTACGGTGACTAGGCCATGGGCATTTCCAGCCTCTGTTCTTCCGGCTGCCCTGGATTCCTGTATCCATCTCCTGATTGTTCTCTTCAAAGGGGGCATAAGCATATTATCATTTACGGACCTGTGTAGGATTGTGTGAAAAATGCTGTACGTGACCTTGGGGACCAGTGTGAGCACGCAAGTCCTCTGCACTCCATAATCCACTTCCTAGATCACTTGGTTGGCTGCCTAGCCTTTTTGGAAAACAAACACCTGCAGGTAGCAGGAGCTGTTTGTCATATGGATGTATAAGTCCAGGCCAGAGCTCAGCAAACTTCTCAGAACTGCTGGATAGCAAATACTTCAGTCTCTGCAACACAGCAGGTCCCTGCCTCCACTTAATTCTGTGAGAGCCAAGCAAATGCTGAAATAGAGCATTTATAAACAAATGGATGTTTACCCAATTCAGCAACTGGGCAGGATTTGATGCATGGGCACAAAATTTTGATGCCTGCGATAATCCAAGGGCTAAAACAAGTTAAACAAAGTTAATAAAATAAAACTTTAGCTTATCAGATAATAGTAGTTAGTACCAGGTAAAGGTCTAATTTCATGGATATAAATTCTCAATCATCTACAAGAGGATGACAATTCCTTGTTTATTTTCATGTGCAGGTTCATTCTACAAGAGGAAACTAGACCAAAGGAATGCAGTTTTCAGTTATCACTTGGGTTTTCAGTGTCAGGTAAGCAATGTTCAGTTCAGTTTGCGTTTTCTATCTCACCCTCGGGAGGAAAGCTTTGTGCTTTCCTGAAGCACTTACTGTATATCTGCAGCTGTCCACGAAAGGAGTTTTTTCCACGGGAGTTCTCAGCTGTGCATTCATATATTCCAGCATCATCTAGCTGCAGGTTGGGGATCTCCAGGACAGCCTGGGATTTCCGCAGTCGGGACTTACTGGGAATGTAACCGTTAACCTTCATCCAAGTGATTGTTGGAACAGGGCTACAATAGGGAACAGAGGCACTGTTAATATACTTCCCGCTATTAGAAACATAGATTCAGTTATCTGGTAATTTAAGTACTTAATAGACTGAACTCAATGAAACGTAATCACAATTAGGGCCGTGTGCCAGTGAATACAAGTCGCTTTCCACATGGTTGTGAAGCCATCAGGGAACCAAGTCCTTCTCTTTCAGACTTCCACAAAGCCTTAGAAAGCCTGCACTATTATTTTCTAAACGTAAATGATATATTTTTAAGTAACAAATGGACTTTGGTGAATTTGCTAACAGTTTTATAGCAGGAGTCAAACAAGAGTTGGGAATTAAATAGAGAAACTTTTCTGCCCTCATCTGCAGCAAACATGTTTCCCATAGCAACAGTTTGTATGGCATTACACCTGGTCCCTATAGCACATTTCTCCCCACAGTGAGCCATTTAGTTGGTTTTTTTCCCCTCTTATTTAAAGCTTTTATATTTTCTATTTAATCCTAAAGGTTTTATTAGATAAATACTACCTGGCTTTTCATGGGTACCTGGAACTCTGTTATAGGAGCGTGTTGGTCAACTGTCCCTATAGCTCACGGTTCAGGATGCACTGCCTTCATGTCGTGCACCTCTCTCCTTTGGTGCCAAATGGAGGCACTGATCTCTGCACTGCTGCTTTCATGGTTTACAGGAGGCATTCCCAAAAGCTGGATGAATGCCTCAAAGGGTATATCAATTTCTCATTTCAATAAGTGCTGGCAGACAGTAGCAGTCCTAACAATAATATATGGTATGTTTTCCCTGTATCCTTGTCAGGACTATGCAACATTAATTTATTTAAAAAAAATCTACACACACTCAAACCAGAAAAAATTCCTAGCATTAAGAAAGAGAAGTAGACACAAAGTCATACCCCTGACTGAGACACTATAGTAATACCCACGGGCGAAAGATATTCAGTTTTTTCCAATGGGGTATCTAATTTCCAATGCAGGCCCTATGCCCAGAAGTAGTTGGCCAACACAAAAAGACTCTGTGCATTCTTCTTTTGTTGTGTTTTATCTTACTGCATTTTTTTTTGGTTTGATTGGCTTTTTAAATTTTTGTTTTAAGAGAGAAAGAGAATGATTCAGCTGAGTAAGGGATGTACAGGGGTCTGAAAAGAATTGGAGGAGGGGAAATAACATGAACGAAATATATTGGAGGAAAAATATTTTAAAAATGTATTTCTAAAAGTACTCAGTATAGATTACATATACATGTGTGCACAATATACATACACATGTGTGCACAATATACAAACACGTGCAAACATGTAACAATAGCAATTAAAGAGGAGACCAAGAATTTGGGAGTAAGGCATGATGCAGATGTCGTGCTCATGTATGAAATTATCAGAAAAGAAACTATGAAAGCGGATTGCGTTTCCCAGCAATTCTCCTTTCTAACCTGCTCTTATCATACGATGGCTTCTGAGACAGCAACTTAGAAGTATGCCTTCTGTGGGTAAGCTCACAAGGCTATGGTTTCCTTCTGAGTTCCAAACCTTTTCTTGTTTAGAAACTGATTTCAAAACTCAAGTTTAGGTCAATATTTTTTGCAGAGTTGAGATGGCAATTTTAAACTGCACTTTCCCATTCGGCTGTGGTCCCCTGGTCTACATCATTCCTCTTGTACTATAGAGAGGTGCTCTTTCCCATTTGACTGTGGTCCCCTGGACTACGTTATTGTTCTTGTGTGACAGAGGGGTGGAATTCGTGATTTCAGCATCATGAAGGACACTCAGTGGTCACAATGGCTGAAATCTTGTATTCTCTTCTAAAAGTTATCCTGCACTGGCATGTCTTTCAAGTTCAGTTCTGTTACACCGAATTCTTGGTGTCTACACATGCTACACTTTTCATGATGCATCATATGTATTTTCTATTTTCTTTCTCACCTCCTCTACCTTCTCTATCCTCTGATCCAAAGACACTACTCTGTGTCTTCAATCTCTTCCTTGACCCATTTCTTACTTGTATGGCCAGCTACACATCGACTTTTTCCTCTTAAATAACAAAGTCCTTTGCATCTTAATTGAATCTCCCATAATATTCTTCTCTGTATTATAAATAATGAGTGTAAGGAAGTTTTAGAAAGCAATTTTAAACAAAAATATTCTCTCTAGTAGGAATGATAGCGTTGTTCAGGGCACCAGTTATCAACTCCAGGGTCTTGGGCAGTCATGTCCCCAGCCACATAATTCAGATTCTTGGTTCCCTGTTCTCAGGGAAGATGGGATGAAGGAAGAGGTGAGGTCACACAGTCAACTTCAATATCTCTCTTACTTTTGATACTGCTGTGTACCCACGCTACTTTCTAGGCTAATAAATATTTTAAAACACGAACTATTGGGCTGCTGAGATTGCTCAACAGGTAAAGGTGCTCACTCCCAAGACTTAATGGCCTGGGTTCAATCCATGAGACACACACAGTGGAAAGGAAGAGAGACTTCTACATATTTTCCTCAGATCTCTACATGCATGCCTGGGTAGATATGCTCCCTCCCCACATAAATAAATAGATGTAAAACATAAAACACTGGTGAAAAATTTGCACAAGACAGCATTTCCTATTTTCACCCTTCAGTAATGTATTCTAGATATAATTCTCATCCTTTTCCAAATAAAAATTCCAGGAGATATCATATTTCCATATTTATATTTTCTCTACTGTTTTTATTATGTTTTATAATCATTGTTTTAATGGTGTTATCTCTGGTGATACTGTGGGCCTTTGGAAGAAATACACAAAATAACTAAAGAAAAATCATTCGTATTTTGCCATTACTCACGGATTTCAATTCCACAGTACAGAACAAAGGACTTTGAACATTTTAAATCAAGTTTTTAATTCTGTGCCAAGTAATTCATCCATATACAAATACTTTAAAGCAAATATTTTCATATTACTCACCTTTTATAATTTTAAAATCTGAATTTTTATATTTTCCCCAGAGTAAAAGTCCAAGCTACTCAATGAGCACTTATTTTTCACTGCAATTTCCTCTTTTATATCATTTTTTCATTACTGTGTAGGCTGCAGCAGAGTCAGTGAGATTAGCCACCCCTGATTGTACATACAAAACACACAACCTCAAAATGCTGAAAGCAAAATTAAAGTTGCTAACATTGTCTTTCCTAAATGCTGAACGCCCTAATTCTTAGTAGTCTATCCACTGACTTTATGAGGACTGCCTGAGTCATTTCAAGCTATTTTATTAAGAAGTAGCACAATCCTAATTTCTTTGAATTTGATTATTTAATCTATTAGGGAAGGCAATATTTCATAAATGGGGAGAATAAATATAAAATGGACTCCAAGGTTGTTGTAGAGACCAAGAAGCAATCTAGAATGAAGACTGTGTTACACAGGAGGGAACGATTTTCAAAGCAATAACAAGAACACCCCGTGCTAAGGAGAAAGGTGATGTTTCAGACAGTCAACAGTGCTTCTGTACTGAGCGGGTTTAGAGCCAGTGTGTGGAGGAGTCGGGGAGTGTTCGCATCCTGCTGACTTGACAAGATCCTTGCTGTCAGTTAAACAGTGTTTGAAATCAGTAATGAAATGGTTGTTGAAGATCTTCAAAGTATTCTTGATTTCATTAGAAAGACAAAGTACATAAGTTCTAGATTCAAAGATAGGAAGAGGACAGAAAGTTAGCTCGGAAGGAAGACTTCTGCCGTGGGGTGGGGGAGTTCCTCCACGAGAGACATGTGCGCATGTGCGGAGAAACTGGAAGGCCAGAGACAGCTTCTGCAAGGGAGGAAGAGACAGTTCTGGCTCAGACGTTCATGTGCATGAGATCTCATGCTCTTAATAGGCTCTTGGCAGTTTGTATGCATTTGTAGGTGGAGAGGGCGGGGTTTACACAGGAAATCACTATAGCCTTATGCCAAGTGCCTGCTTCCCCTGCAATAGAAAGGCCATCTTCACTGATGAAACTACTTAACAAATTTTATTTCTCTTTATTTCTCTGTTGAATTCTCAAGACTAGCAATCAAAAACTTGCCTTTGGATTATTGAACGTTTCAGAACAGGAAAAAATAACTAGCATTGCTGGGGTGGCTGAACATTGATTTGATTCTAAACATAAGCTTCTATTAAATGAAAAGGAGACATCGAGCTTCTTGATGCCGAGAATATTTTATAGGCCTTTGGGATCTCCTCTATCATCTACGCTGTTCATGACAGCTAAGAACAAACTAAAGAACTTCTGCTATTTTCAAGTACCTTGTTTATAATCTAGTTTGATCCATTCATTTTTTTTTTTGGTCAGGACTTACTTAGCATTAAAAAAATTTATCTCAAGATACTGTAAATTCTCATTGATTTAATGTTGTAATATTATCCAACACACAATTCCCATCACAAAAATCTGCAAATGGAGTTGTCTCTCAGAAAGAGAGCTGGGTTAGGCTATGCTGGAAGAATGAGTAGAAATATCAATTTTGACAGAAATGCGAAGAACAGTTATTTCTGTCTTATTGAAGATGTGTTTAAATTTTATTTTTTAACCACACTTTGGATTCCTGTGTGCAATGAGCACAGGAACTTAAAGTAGCTAAAGGATGTTTAAAGTTTGCATCATTTTCTTATTCATTTGGCTCAGAAATGTCTATCAGTAACAGGAGATTATGTGAAGCCACACTGAAATTCTGACAGGGCTTTGTGTTAGCACCGTCAAAGAGGCAGGATGAATAGTGCCTGCAAACGTAGTTCTAAATGTGAGGCATGTGGCGGATGAACTTTAGCCTTCGCAGAAGTCATTAAGGCATTTCTTAAAGATCATTTGATACAGATGATGAAGTAATGTGTAGAATCTGTCAAGACAGAAGGAGGGCTTAGCTGTAAAGATTTAATGATTTCAAAGGAAAGTACTCCCCAGCCGCAACTAGCTATTCACAGACAAATTGTAGGTCTGTCTAATGGAGCTTCCTATTTTCCTTGCATAAGTCACAAGTGAGACATGAATT